CGACGCTGCTGAACAATACAGCGAAGGCATAACATGGGAAACCAAATCGTACACATCTCAATGGTATCACTGCAAACGTCTGTAGGAGAAAATTGTGGATTCTAGAATGATCTCCTCGTTCGAATTGTAACTTGTGATGTAAGTGGGCCCTGCACAAGAATCGGAGACATTGACGCAGTGGTTGAACAAGGATGAGCCCCTGATTCTTTTCGAAGCTGTCATTCGTTAAAGACAGTTTCCGCGATCAAGCGAGCGAAAAAAACCTTGGTAACACTTTGAACAGAGACCCCCTTAGCAGTGAGCGCCTTGGACGAGTTTGTCGGACGTCGGCAAGCCCAATCAGCAGGATTCGACGTGCAACCAATTCCCGGCAAGAGCACAGGAAATCACCCTACGACGCTCCAGGCAACGCTATGTACACACGCATTTTCCCCTGTAAGCCGTTGTCTTGCAGGTGAAAGTGATCGTGGTTGCAATGGTTGCAATGATCACGCGTGACTAGCTTCTTTATTTAGCCGTACGAAAGTGGTATATTCTCTGCGAATGCGAACAACGATACCAAATGCACGGAAGCATTTCGCGAACCACTTGATCGCGGGAATTGTTTTCAAGGAAAACTATGGTCTTTGCAATTGGAATTTACATGATTGAAGAGAACCTTAGGGGGAAAGAGTCTCCGTGAAATATAGAAACGGTGAACAATAACAACAATATCGAAATCCCAAGACAGTTCTTATGGTGAGGTCATTACCAGAACTTCATGTTCTATGGTTCTGAACTACTACTTCTAGAACGATGGATAGAAAGAAAGTGTTATAGAGTGAGACGTCTAGTAAAGGGCAGGATAGAGCTTGGGTTTAAAGCAGGGGACAATGCTTCCATTGCGAAATTGTAGGAAACCTGTTCACTCTTAGCCTACATTTGCCTTTTCAGATCAGTGAAGGCTGAAGACAAATCTTATCACAAGCACTTGGTGAATTCGACACTTGGGGTCGTAGTTCACAAGATCCAAATTGCGGCATTGTGCGCAAATCAGTTAACACTTTAGAATTGAGTTTCTTCTTCTCCAACTGTGGTCGCCTGCCAGCCCTTCACAGCTGGTAGAGGCGGCTGGCGCCCCGCCAACCAACCCCTGACACGCCCGGTATTCGCAGCGAACAAGACCTCATGTCACTTCAGCTAGCTAAGAATGCTGGTTTTCGCGCTATGCCTCTACCTGGATCTCTCAAACTACTCAATATTCCGAAAAAGTGTGCGCGGCGTACTTCATCGCTTCTATCGTTTCAATCGCGCGATTTTGCTTTTATCATTTTTGCATCTACCCAAAATCCCCTGAAGACACATTATGGTGATCACTTAGTGAGTAGAAGCGCTTAATAGTCCGCCTGCTTAGTGGGTAGAAGCGCTTCCCAAATAGTCCGCCTGCAATCTCAGAGGTTTTCCCACTTCCGCGACTCCACATTTCGTAAGGAAGCTGCAGCTACCGTCACCAGCCGAAGACACGCCTTTCGTAGAAGGTGCCCATTGCGGACGAAATATCTCAGCGGTCTGCCGACTTTCAAGGAGATAAGTTACATTTTATTAAATTCTGGTTGGACATTTTTACCATCAAATTCAACAACGCATTGCACACGATCACGAAACTCCTCCACAGCCTTCTGGACGGAACGCCATCGAGAGATTCTGCCGCGCGACCGTGATTCGGTGCCTGAGTTCAGCCAAGTCGTTGATTCCACACTGTAAACCACCCTGTTGAGCTCCTCCGAATCCGGTAATTGAAGGGGCTTAGGTCAGTTGACAACCTTGGATATTCCGCCCTCTCCAGTTTTGAATACCTTCGGTCCAAGTAGGGCGAGAGTTATTCTAACGCCCTTCGATTCCACGTGCTGGCACCCAATCCTGTAGCAGTACGAAGTTTCCAAGATGGTACAGGCGACGACATGAAGGCAGGATATTCTCCTCGAGTTGGCCAATGTAACCCTCAGCGCTCACTTTCAGCCCGGAGTCCACGAAGAAAATATCGGTCTTCTCATTCTAGGAACCGCCGGTTCATGCCATCAACGCGCGCCTTGGCGACTGCGGTGAAGATGAATATTCTGGACCATAGCGACGTTTTCGGAGCTGCGCGATGTTGGAGGTCATATCAGACCAAAAAGTGCTGGTCTGGGAATACCTCCAACGTCCAGCCAGCTTCCGAAAACCCCGCAGCTTTCTATAGGTAGCGTCCATGGAGTCCTCCATCCTAGAAGTTTTGAGGCTGTTTGGAAGTGACGTGAATTCCATAGGCCTTCTCCAGTCAGGCTGCGATTGGAGATGGCTTCGAAGGTGATGGAGAACCTGCTCCTACTTATAGAGAAACTCATATCCATGTCTTCTGTCTGGGCTACATAAACTTTACTGATATGTTACCTCCGACTCATATATTTTTTGCCGGCCCCGCCCCCGTATAAACACGCGGCTTTATGTATTGCTTCATACTGTGCAAGATCGTCTCTTTCGTCTTCATTCATTCGAACACCCAACCTCACGAATTGTCATCGCGAAAGTGACCGTAGATTGCTAGATGCTACGGGCGTAATAAAAACGACATTTTCTACAAGGCTGACCCTAACTCATAACGGGAACGGTTAGGACTCCACGAGAGGTCAGCCTGCCGCCGCGACGCGGCAGAGGAGAAGTGGGCCTCGCGATGTTTTCGCTATCTGCGCGGCGTTTGCATAGTCCGTTAGATTTCCAACAGTCTGCTTTATTACTTGCAACTGTGAAAACTATGGAAGAAGCGGGCCCGATGTCAGCTATTAGTAAAAGCAATGTCCATTTACATAGAAATAATATTTAGAGAATACATCAGCAATCTACGAAAATTCACTTTAGGGTGAATCCTTCTTTTGCACTTTGCAAGGTAATGTAAAGGCCTAAGATTTGCAGCTAGACGGGAAATGCAGGTAGTATTAAAGAATTACAGCAATCTGTTGAATAAATACAGCTACCATTCAAAAATTAACGTCCCATTGAATATTCTAGTTTGGCAAAATGCCAAGCAGATTTGCGTGATGCCAGAACTATGTGAAGGGACCGGGATCTTAATCGCACGACTGTATGGTCTTGTCCAAACAGGGCAGCAATCGCCGCGCGCGGCGAGGCGAAACATGCGCCCGTGACCTCGTATAACTTCGCTAAAGCGGTCTGGAACTTTACCTCCTGGTAGCGATAAAAGAGGCAGGATAGTGTCTTCGCTGTTACGGAATCCTTTTTGAGATGCAGCACGCATTTCACCTCCACAAATCAAATCGCAGTAGCTCATGGAATGCGAAATGGCCTTAACGTTGAACTGCGGTGCAGCCGATGTTCAAATCACCTCAGACGAATCCGGCTAGGGCAGAAGGGTCGGTAGGCCTGGGCGGGGGCAACTCCGCACGCCTTGTGTTCAATAGTGTCCTAGGTCTCTTTATTATAGGCGTCGTAATTAAGACCCTTATTCGGGGTTGGGGTTCTTATTTAGCGGAAAATGATCACAACGTGATCGCGTGCCCTGCCCCGGACCACATGCTTGGTCCAGTAGTCCATAAGAGAGAATGTTTCTCTCCAGAATTGTATTACACAGATAGAGAAATAAATATTTTAACTTTTATTACGCAAAAAGATTGGCATCAAAATGCACTGCAAGGATTGCGTTAATTCCTCATCCTATTGAGATTCCATGCCGCGGTACGGACACCGCCGACGAACATTTTCTCCTGATTAATATTCACAGATTCTGCGATACACTGATATGGAATGGCTAGAGCCAGTGACTAACGTTCCATATGGTCCTCTGTGAGCCAAGACCTGACTGGATCGCAGAAACAGTCCGGCAGAATATAGCTCGGGTCACTGTTACAGATCTGCAGGAACGACGGGAGTGATGGTGCGCACTATGCCAATGAAAAATGAAATTGCTAGAAACAACACTAAGTCATTTGGATTGGCACATTGCGTAAATAACGTTTTAAGTACTAATAGCTAGATCACTAATACTTTATTCTTTATCGCACAGACACAAATAGAGTGTTTTTGATCATTTGTGCGAAGATTCTCGAGGAACCGGCAGCGGTGAATAATGTCGTCCATCTTCTAGTCATGTCTCTGGTCCTTGCTCCAGTATAACGAGCGAAGTCGTCCAGCCATCTTGTTCTGGGACGTCCGAGACCTCTTTTTCCTTGTGGTATCCAGTCAGTTGCCACTCGAGCCCAGGAGTCTTGAGGGGACCTTCTTGAGAGACGCGCAGCGTAGGACCATTTTCTTTGTAGTGCCGAAACCACCCAATCTTTCAGCGATGTCCTTCTGCGTAGGATTTTGGATGAGATTTTGTCCGAAAGCCTAGCTCCAAGTATGGCTCTTTCTAAACGTCTTTGTGCTGTTCTGAGGCACATCGCCACTTCCTTTGTCCATACCCATGTTTCGCAACCATATAAGCACTGTTGTAGGATACACATATTGATAAGTTTTCGTTTCAAACTCATTTCCACTCGAGGTTGTCGAAGGAACAGTCGGTTCTTGAAGTATGAGGCACGAGCTGCTTGAATACGACTATGGATCACATCCTTAGGATTTCGCGGGAACGTTATCCTTTGACCGAGATAACTGAAATGGTCGACTCGTTCGATTTCATTTTCCTGCACGTATAAGGGACCGTCGATATCTCCTAGATCGGCTTTACTCAATCTCATCCATTTCGTCTTCAAAAAATTAATAGTGAGTCCCACTTTCTCCGCAGCATCGGCCAACATTTTTGCCATTATTCCAATGTCTTCACAACTATGAGCGAGAAGGACAATATCATCAGCATAAGCTAGGTACGAGAGGGTTTGGTTCCCTAGCTTCAGTCCGCTTGTCCACTGCCATCTAATGCAGATTCCAGCCGCGGTACGGAGGAACTAATGTGAAGAGAATCTGTGAGTACATTGAGTTCCCCTATGTTCTTACACACCTCGCTGCAATGAACTTCTGCTAGTTGATCGCTATTCTGCGGCAGCGGTACTGTGTGCATACAGCAGCTGTATGGCCATTATCAAGTTCTCCTCTACACCAAAATGCTCCAACGCTTTCCATATCATTGGAAGTTCCACGCTATCGAAGGCCTTCTTAAAATCGACGAAAACGGCACATAGCTCTATATTGAACTCGTGACATTTCTCGGTAATCATATTAATAGTGTGAATATGATCTATGGTCGAGAAGTGCTTGCGGAAACCAGCCTGCTCCGGTGGTAGAATTGACTTTTCCTCAATTGTGGCTGTCAAACGGTCTGTAAATATTCTTGTCAGCACCTTATACAGCGTCGACAGCAGCGATATTGGCCTAATATAGAGCGATGTTAGATGGGTCTCCAGCTTTGTAGAGTAGAATGGTGTGAGCGAATGCAAAACTTGCAGGCACAACCTTTGTCCTTATCATGTTGTTGAAAAAATGTGTGTTATGGGTAAGGCGAGTATTTGTGAAAGAGCACGAAGAGAAGGGGATTGAATGCCATCGGAACCAGCAGCTGAACGTGCTTTGCTTCTCTTCATTGCCATTTGCACTTCATTATTGTGGACCTGCAGATTTATTTGGCCTGATGGTGAGTGGGTGGGCCGAAGGAGGAGTGGTACAGTGCGTTATAAAAATTTCTCACTGCTTTCACTGACTGCGACACATGATCAGGAAAAGGTTCATCTGATGGGGAGGGGTCGCTAGGAGGGGAGGAGGTGGTTTCTTTCAGGATTGTCAAAGATCTTCTTGCGTGTAAAGCTTGCATGCGCCCACGTCGAAGGCGTCCGGACTTGATGGCTTGACGAAATATTTGAATATGACGTTGTCGCAAATCTTCTTGGATAGATTTTCGGGCTAGCTTGCAAATCTCAGCATACTCCACGATTCCCCTCCCATTATCTCCGTGACGTAGCTCTCGTCGTCTCTGGAGGAGATCCCGGGTCCTTGGTGATAGACGTGGTGGGAGATATTCATACCTTGTGGACATCTGAGTAGCTGTTGTTATGACGCGAGTAATGGTATCATAATCTTTGATTGTATCGCCAGTCATCATATTTTCATGTAGTAAACATTGAGCGGTTGAACACAATAAGTCGCTGTCGATAACGGGGAATCCTCTTGGTCTTCTTACTGGTTGTGAGATCGGATTCAGACGCATTTTACATCTTAACATGCGGTGATCACTCCCCGTGTTAACACTAGTGAGCACTCCTACATCGACAACGCCCTTCATACTTCTCAACAATACATAATCAATCTCTTTCTTCAGTCCCAAGGCATCATTTCGCCATGTCCAGCGATCATCAAGTCTCTTTTTGAAGAACGAGTTAGCAAGAAATAGCTTTCTTTCCTCACAAAAGTCGGCCAACATTTGTCCACGGTGATTTCGAGCTCCTGAGGAATTGTTACCAATGTATCGCTCTTCATTACGGCGGCGTAAACCAGAGTTGCGTAGTGAAATCGCCCAAGATCACTTGGTATCATACTTCCCTGAGCTTCGAGAAATGAGCCATGAATGTCTAAGAACGCCTCGTATTCCACATCTTGAAAATCTGAATGGGGCGCGTGAACTTGTATTATACGGAGAGTGCTCCTATCGGCTAGTTTTATGCAAAGCTCAATCATTCGTTCAGAGTGAAAGAAACAATCGATGCGTTGATTCAATGATGACGGTACATAAAATCCTACACCTCTTTTGGTTCGTTCCTCAGTACCACCTATGATATAAAGAGTACCCACTTGAGAGGTCTATTCTTCCTTTGCCAGCCATTCGTGTCTCCGAGACTCCAATGACATCGAACTTGACATTCTCGACCGCGGCTTCGAAGTCGGCAAGTCTTGCCGCGGTGGCAATGGAACGGACATTCATGGTGCAAATGCGAAGCCGGTCCTGTCTTCTTGGCATACGGTCCGCGCTAG